CAGCCAGATCCTAAGAGATACCCTGATAAAAAGTACACACATTGGTTCTACTGCTTACCTGCCCTTGTACCCTCAGGGTAGAGTGGGCACAGGCACGTCAGACCTTCTTCAGCTCTGGCAAGAACAGGACCGCCCTGGATGCCATCGAACGTGCCGCTTTCTTTGTGGCCCTAGATGAAGAGTCCCACTGTTACAACCCCGACGATGAGGCCAGTCTCAGCCTCTGTGGCAAGGCCTTGCTGCATGGGAACTGCTATAACAGGTGTGTGCCCCAGAGGTCATGGGTCAGAGGTCAGAGTTCAAATTTAGTGATTAGAACTAGAGGCTAGTGGTTTGGGTTAGAAGATTAACGTAGGAGTTGGGGTCAGAGTTAATGGGTAGGTAGCATTATTCAGGGGTGAGGTGGTAGATAATAGCTAAGATTGGAGTTGACGATTAAGAATAGAGATTGAGATGGGGGGCAGGGAGATAGTTCAGTGGGTGGTGGTACCTGCTGCCAAGCCTGATGACCTGAGTTCAAACCCCAGGACCCACATGGTGGAAAGAGAAGCTCCCTTTGACCTCCATGAATGCATGTGCGTGCACACACACACACACACACACACACACACACACACACACACACACATTCACACAAACAAATGTAATTTAAAATTTTTTAAAACAATAGAAGTTAAGGTTAAATTCTGGGTTAGTAATTAGAATTGGATCATTAGTGTTAGCAGCATAGGGTTAGGGTTGTAGGTTGGAGATCTGTATAATTTCCCAGCTTTGGGTCCACCCTGATCTACTCTTGCAGGTGGTTCGACAAATCTTTCACTCTTATTTCCTTCAAGAATGGCCTGTTGGGCCTCAACACAGAACACTCATGGGCAGATGCCCCCATCATTGGGCACCTCTGGGAGGTAAAGGCCTAGAGAGGGGAACCTTCTGGGCAGGTCCTGGCAAAGAAGTTCGTCTCTCAGTTGTGTTTTATCCCCGCAGTTTGTCCTGGGCACTGATACCTTTCACCTGGGTTACACGGAGACCGGACACTGTGTGGGAGAGCCAAACATGAAGTTGGCGCCTCCTCAGCGGCTGCAATGGGACATTCCTGTGCAGGTATGCGGGCTAGGAATGAGGGGGTTAGGTCTCATCCTCAGGATGAAGGGACAAAGCGCTTCTCGGGTGCCACGTGGGCCACAAGCAAAGCAGAGACCCCAGGGTTGTCTGGTTAGAGAAACACTGAGATCCATGGCTCACGTTCATAGAGCACCTGACAGTCTGGCAGTACCCCTCCTCTCCACCAGACCCAGCAGGGCCTCGTGCTGAATCCTCACAGGTTGCCACTTGTGTCTTCGGAAGCTGTTGGGCGGACTCTGCCTTTCCCCCATCACCTAGACTTCACACCTTCTTAGATCTAGAGGCCTCCGTGGAGGACTCTGCCCTCAACTGACCCTTTTCCACATTTTGGCAGTGCCGGGAAGTCATCGAGAATTCGTACCAGGTGGCCAAGGCACTGGCCGACGATGTGGAGTTATACTGCTTCCAGTTCTTACCCTTCGGCAAAGGCCTCATCAAGAAGTGTCGGACCAGCCCTGACGCCTTTGTGCAGATTGCCCTGCAGCTGGCTCATTTCCGGGTAGGAGCTTCTGAGGGCTGTTGAATGTGCAGGGTATCCTCGGGGTCCACCTGCTTGACTCCCCCTGCTGTGTACCCCAGGACAAAGGCAAGTTCTGCCTGACTTATGAGGCCTCGATGACAAGAATGTTCCGAGAGGGGCGGACTGAGACTGTGCGTTCCTGTACCAGTGAGTCCACAGCCTTTGTGAAGGCCATGATGAAGGGGTCCCATAAGGTGAGCCCCACACACCTTGTCTCTCTTCCTCCTTCACCTCTGTTTACTTCAAGGAACACTTGACCCCTCTGCTTCTGACCCCCAGAAAGAAGACCTCCAGGATCTCTTCCGGAAGGCTTCTGAAAAACACCAAAACATGTACCGCCTGGCTATGACAGGGGCCGGGATCGACAGGCACCTCTTCTGCCTTTACATCGTCTCCAAGTACTTAGGGGTTAGCTCTCCTTTCCTGGCTGAGGTCAGTGAAGTTGCTGGGTGTGACCTCTATCCCCTTGCCTTTAGGCCCAGAGAAAGGCCTTCTTGCGATAGGGCTCTGTGGAATTAGTGCTCTTATGAGAAAAAGCAGACGTACATGTGCTCTGCCAGATGGAGAGTGTAAAACAGGCTGAGGTCAGGGAGGGGGTAAGGAGTCAGATGGGACTAAGGCAGCCACAGCTGGGAAGAGCTTATGCAGATGCTGAGGTTTTCAAATGGGCGGTAGGGAACAGAGGAACATCGGTAGTTCAGGGAACTCCTGCACCACACATGTCCATTTCTTTTTTCTTTTTCTTTTTTTTGTGTTTTCGAGACAGGGTTTCTCTGTGTAGTTTTGGTGCCTGTCCTGGATCTCGCTCTGTAGACCAGGCTGGCCTTGAACTCCCAGAGATCCGCCTGGCTCTGCCTCCCAGTGCTGGGATTAAAGGCGTGTGCCACCATGTCCCAGCACATGTCCATTTCTGTACTCTTAACTAGTGCCTCTTATGTTTTGTCTTGCTTGTTTATTTAAGACCAAGTCTTGTTATATCGCTTTGGCTGGCCTGGAATTCACTAGGTAGAGCAGGCTGACCTTGAACTCATGGATGATCCTACCTCTGCCTCCTCAGTATTGGGATTACAGGCGTGTACCACCATGCCTGGCTGATACTATCTGTACTGACATAGTTCTCTGGCACTGCTGGTAGGACAGGGTGCATACTGAGTGCCTAATGTCTAACCGACCTCCACCTCCCTGTTACAGGTGCTTTCAGAACCCTGGAGCCTCTCCACCAGCCAGATTCCTCAGTACCAGATCCGCATGTTTGATCCAAATCAGTACCCCAATCATCTGGGAGCTGGGGGTGGCTTTGGCCCTGTGAGTGCCTCAGAAGGATGGTGGTCGGCAGCATCGGGACCCTGGAGTTTCAGTTTAGGGGTTCAAACATGGGCATGAGCACTCGATTTAGAGAAGACTGTGTGACTGTAAAATGGTAGCTGCTGACTTAGGCAGGCAGGTACTAGGACTACCCATTCACGAGCTTCCCCAGGGCGGCATCACCACACTCAAGGCTAGTCTTCAGGGAATAAGGCAACACACTGAGCCCTCCAGAGGTGTATTCACCTGAAGACAACAGCTCTTTCCCAATGGAGCATTCACATGAGCTGCTCTGTCAGAAGGCTAGAGATTGCTACAGAGAGGGGGGTGATCTATAGTGCGAGTCCCTGAGGAAATGTGAGTCCCAGACTGCCAAACACAGGGGCAGCATCCTTTAAAGGAAACTGAAGGTCCAGTCTTGGAACCAGAGGCAGAGTCCTTTGGTTTGCATACTCTTTCCTGGATTAGGAGAGTGGGGGGCTGACCTCAAGAATGCAATATCCAACATGGGTCCACCTCCTGTGACTCTCGTGGGAAGGGAAAAGTCCATCACTTTGGCTCTTGGGACTCATTTGCTTCTTGTCCTCAGGTGGCAGATGATGGTTATGGGGTTTCTTACATGATCGCAGGTGAAAATACTATGTTCTTCCATGTTTCCAGCAAGTTCTCAAGTTCTGAGACGGTGAGTCTCCCATGCTCCCATTTGGGGTGGTCCTGAGAAGAGGTACTCTGTGGGGTATCCCAGAAGCACATTCCACCTCTGGTGGGTAAGAGTCTGCTTGTAGGTTCAGAGGGCTGGGGGCTGTCCTGAGAATGTGTCTAAGCTCCCAGTTCCCACAGAATGCCCAGCGCTTTGGGAACCACATTCGCCAAGCACTGTTGGACATCGCCGATCTTTTCAAAGTGCCCAAGACTGAAAGCTGAGGACAGGAGAAAGACCAGCTGCCCGTTTGTCCCCACCTGGTGGAGGAAGAAGCCTGTGGCCAGTTCACAGGCACAAGGGGTGGCATGCACACGTGCCCAGTTCTGCACATCTCTGGTGGCGGGTGCGCTCCAGGCAGATACTGCTCCTTTAGGGCCCAGGTGGAGGTGGGACTGGAGCGGCGAGGGAATTTTGATTTTTTTTTTCTTGGTACATGCTAATAAAAAATAAGGCTGTATAATTCTCTCTCAACCCGTAGGTGCCTATGTTGTGTTAGAGAACTATAAGGCCCTCTTTCTGCCTCAGCTCAGACTAGAATGGTGGCAATAACAATCTAGGAGAATGTTCACGAGGGCTTCTTCTCCGCTTTGAAACATGTGCCTTTCCAGAATAATGCAGGCTTTGAGAGCGCTGTCCACCCTCTCATGTGCACTTGGAATAAATTCTTGCTTTAGAACCTTTACCTGTTCCATGGGGCTACTTCTGTTTATCTGCCAGGGAGTGGGGCCCACCTGCCTACTCCACTCACTGGCATGCCTTCTGTAGCAATCTGGGCTAGAGTGCAACCCTACTGAGGCCAGGGGTGCCAGGCGCGCATATCTGTGAGGGCACACAAGATACCCTGCAGCCACATGCTACTTCAGTCCCGTATGCTCTCTTGTGGAAATAACGTTAAACTGAGTTGGACAATGATGGCTCAATACCATATAGACTTGCCTTCAATTCTTCAGAAATAGTATTGCCTTGCACTTAGGGGGCTGAGGCAGAAGGATTCAAGATTTCAAGGGCAGTCTGAGCTACAGAGTGAAACCCTGTCTCAAAAAAAAGAGCAAACCAATAATAATCTTTTTTGAAAGCATAAGTAGCACATCAGTAACTACAGCTGCATACTTGAATGAAAGATTCCAGATGCTAAGAACCCACATGCACATCAGATTTAGAAGTCATGTTTATTGAGCATAGATATGACCCTATTCTGGAAACTCAGTGATGAACAGGACACACTCTCTGCCTATACAGAATTCACTACTAGAAGAGGCTCGTATGAGTAGGGCACAGTGCAGCTGATGGACACACAGCTATTTTTGGAATGACCCACTTAGCAAGTGTCTGCTGGATGCCTGCAGCATGCAAGGCAAGCGAGCTAGCAATGAACAAAATTAGCAGACAGTCCTTCCTTTGGCACCCAAAGACTGCAGCAAGGAACACGGATAACAACTACACGATGTAGTGAGTCAAATGCAAGTTAGTGGTCAGGTCAAGGTAAGTGAGGGAACAGACCAATGAAAAGGCGCGATTTCAGATGGTGGTAAAAGCAGGTCTTTTAAAACGAGGCTACCAACTTACAGACCTGAAGGAGAAAGGAATAAGCCATGTTCTTCCCATCTTTCATGTCTCAAACTTGAAGGCAGAACATTCCTGGACCAAGGGGACAGCAAGGTCCAAAGGTGTATGGGGAGAAAAACCCGTTGTAAAGAATTAGCACATGACAGCGGATAGCTGGTGTAAAGTCAGAGAGCAGGAGGGCAGGCAAGCCTGGCTTGAAGACATCTTGTTCATCTTCTAGCTTCTTCAGATGACGGGAGACTGCTGGAGTCTGAGCAGAGGGAGTCATAATCTCTCCTCACTTTAAGGAGATATTTTTTCCTGGCCAACCAGAATGATACAACAAAATAGGATGCAGTCATGGGAGAATCGTGAGGCCTGTCTCGAGGCAGTGGTCATGACAGCAGAGGGGGAAAGAATGGCAGGACTTATACTAAGGCAGTGCCATACGCAGGACTAGAAAATTGGGATGCGGAGTCTCTCAAAGGTAGGAATAACAAGCCTGATGGGATCTCAGAGACAGCTCACTTTAAAAAATTACATTACCAGGCAGAGGTGGCAAGCGCCTTTAACCCCAGCACTCAGGAGGCAGAGGCTGGCAGATCTCTGTGAGTTTGAAGCCAGCCTGGTCTACAGAGCAAGTTCCAGGACAGCCAGGGCCACACGGAGAAGCCCTGTCTTGAAAAATCAAACAATATATAGATGTATGTTTGCATTAAAAGTTTTAGACTTAGTTTATATATATATGAGTGTTTTTCTGCAGGTATGTATGTGCATGTACCACGTGTGCGTCTAGTGCTCATAGAAGTCAGAAGAGGGTGTCAGAGTCCTTAGAACTAGGATTACAAATGGCTGTGAGCCACCAAGTAGATGCTAAGAACCAAACCCAAGTCCTCCCAAAAAAAGCAAGTGCTCTTAACCATTGTTCCAGCCCTCCAGCCTCAAATGATTACATTTTTACTTTGTGTGTATGTGTGTGGGTAGCATGCTAGTTATTATTACAGGAGATTCTAAGGAATGTATGTAATCAGGCTGTGTGCCTAGGATGTAAATAGGAGCATGGGGTCACAGTTTGCTGGTCTTAGCTATGTAAGGGCATGGGCACACCTGACAGATCCTCTGGGCTTCCTGAAAGCTCAAGCTTTCAGATCTGACTTCTACAAGACATCTCAGGTAGCACAACTCCATCGCCAGACAGGATACTCAGGGCCACTCACATTCCACCTGAACGGATCCCCTGACTTTTCTCTCCATTTCTGCCACAGGAGCAGGCCCATCTACACCGTCTGACTTTGCTCCTGCTAGACTTTCTGCCTAGAATCTCCAACCCTTACTTTTCCTTGCTGACTTCACTGTCCATCAGAGTTCATCTTGATTTTTCTGGAGTTTCATAACAGAAGTCAGGAGCGAGCTGTTCATGCAGCTGGAAAGTGATTAGAAGTTTAAAGGGTAATTCAGGCTAGAAAAGGACAGTCAAAAAACCAGATTCAGAGGAGGCAGAAGCCTGACGGTATATGGAGGGATTTAACTAAACAGCGCTCTTTTCAATAAACAGTGAATGGGTGTTCACTGTGTCCAGACGATCTGTCTCAGCCCTTGATGTTTTCCTCTCTGGCAGACTGCTAAGGATCAGAATCCCAAAGAGAAAATTCTGAGGGTCCTGGGTGCTTTGTATTCTCAAACAGTTGGTGTCCAAAGTTAGTTGCAAACTCACCTTTTCTCACCCCAGCTTGTGTTATCAACACCTTCCAACCAATGCCTATTTCTCCCTCACCTCCCACATTGCCAGACCCTGTCAAATTGTTGTGGCTTTTAACTCTGCATCTCCCTCCTCTATGACCATGCCTCCCTTCCTTCACACTTCCATCATTGTGGGAGGCCAGCTCCCACCTTTTAAAGGGTTCCTATGAGGAAGAGAGAGGAATAAGAAACTTTCAGATAGATAGCGGAGAGGAGACAGACAGAAACACAGGATAGCTTTGGGAGGACCTGGATCAAAATCCACTGGCCCCATCTGGCTCTTCAAAAGGGCTTTTTCTAACAATGCCAAGGGGCGAGGCAAAAAGACCTCCCCCTATCGAGATCAAAGCACACCGCACAGGCGAGTGTAGACCCTTCCAAACACCTGGTCACCACGCCAGTGGTCACATCATCCCCTTCTGCAGCCCTGCTGGGTAAAGCAAGCTGAGATTCTCAGACCTTGAGTAAGTTCTCACTAGGAAACCTCTGTGGGTCTTTCATTGCCCAGACAACACCCTGCTCCATCTCCATCTTGCCTCCAGCAACCAGAAGTTCATTTGAATCATTTCAGTCCTCTGATGGCATGCCCCAAACAACATGTCCACGGCCTTATGAATAAAGATTGACTTGGGAGTTGAGGAGACAGCTCAGAGGTTAAGAGCACTGCTGCACAAGAATAAGGACCTGGGTTTGAATCTCTAGCGTTCATGTGAAAGCCAGGCATTGTCATACAGGTCTGTAACCCCAGGGGGATGGAGAGAGGTAGACCCTAGGAGTTCACTGGCAAGCCAGTCTAGCAGAAACAGTGGGTTTCAATTTCATTGACACACCGTTCTCTAAGGCATAAGGCAGAGAGTGACCAAGCAGGAGAACCAATGTCTTCCTTTGACGACACCACCACCACCACACACACACACACACACAAAGAGAAGCTGGGAAGACAGCTTAATAAAGTCTTTGCCTGGGCTGGAGAGATGGCTCAGAGGTTAAGGGCACTCACTGGCTGTTCTTCCAGAGGTCTTGAGTTCAATTCCCAGCAACCACATGGTGGCTCACAACCATCTAGATGAGATCTGGTGCCTTCTTCTGGCCTGCAGGGATAAGTGCAGACCGAACACTGTATACATAATAAATAAATCTTTAAAATAATAAAGGAAGGAAGGAAAGAAAGAAAGAAAGAAAGAAAGGAAGGAAGGAAGGAAGGAAGGAAGGAAGGAAGAAAGAAAGAAAGAAGGAAAGAAAGAAAGAAAATCTCTGCCTTTCAAGCAGGAGGAGGAGTTCGATCCTCAGGGTTGGTTTGGACTAGCCTATTTAGCCTCCTTCCAACTAGAAATTTTTGGGTGTTTTTAAAGATTTATTTATTTATTATATTTAGGAGTGTTTGTCTGTACGTCCGTATGTTCACCATGTGCATGCCTCCAAGGTGCCGCACCTCGGAGATCAGAATGTAGCTTTGGATCTTCTGGAACTGGACTCAAAAACGGTTGTGCTGGGAACCAAATCCAGGTCCTCTGTAGGAGCAGTAAGTGCTCTTACTCGCTGAACCATCTCTCCAGCCCCACCCCCACCCCCAAGTAGAGCTTTATACTCTTGGCTTTTAAGTACCGAGTGGCTCTATTGCCTGTTATCCTTGCTTGGTGATATAGGGACCTATTCTGCGGAGACAAGACCACTGCAGGGCAGACTTGGGCCGGAATTAGGCACATCTGCCTGTGCGGTAATACCCCTGCCTCATCCAATCCCCATTATTCTCCCCCAACCTTCCAAAAACCCAAGCATTGACTTGCCCTGTCAGGCAGGTGCAACAATGTCTGTCACACATAATACTGGACATTGAACAAATGTTTACGTCCCGAACACCAGGACAACAGCAATCAGACGGGGCCCTGCCCACGTGGCTGTACACAGAGGCACGTAAGAAAGGAACCTCACTGTCAAGCACTGGAGGCTGCGGGGAGAATTGGGAACCCACAGGCAGGAGGTAGCATCACGCTTCCTCCTCTCTACTCCATGGACACTCAACCTCGGGCCACCTAAATCCAGAGTGAGATCCCGTAAGGCCAGGTGGAAGGCCCACGAACAGGCCCCGCCCACTGAGAAGTCCCGCCCCCAGGGAAAAAGCGAGCCAATGAGGGTGAGAACCCAGTTCCTGGGGGGCGGGACTAGTAACGGAAAGGGGCGGGGCGTCGTTGCCAGGAGTCCCTCCTTCCTCTCCCGCCGTGTGGGCTGTGGAGCTGAGCAGAGCGCGGGCCCGGCCAGAGGTGAGCGAGGCCTGCGCGCCCAGGGGCCTCTGGGGCTGGGTCCCGGCCGTCCTCACCGCCTCACGTGAAAACCTTCAACGCTGTCGCTCGCCCCTTGCTTCTGTCCCTCACGCCTCACCTGCCGCTGCTGACACCCCGCCTTTTACCGTATTTCCTACACCCCCAAACCCAGACGCTCTCCTTCGTAGCCTCACCCAAAGCCCAGTATCCCACCCTTCAGTCTCCTCCTCCCACACTCCAAGTACCTGCCCTCAGTCTCCGGTACCACAGCAAAACCCGGCTCCCCTGATCTCCTCACCCACACTTTTATCCCTCAGCTTCTTCAGCCCACACCGAAGATGCTTCCCCTCTTCGCACGTGTCTTTATTTCCCTCCCCTCGGCTTCCTCAGTTCCAACCCCAGATGGCTCCTTTGCTCAACCCTGTCCCTTATTTCCCCTCAGCTTCTTCACACCGCCCCCCAGATGCCACCCCTCATCTCACCCCACATCCTTACCTCGCTCCCCTCAGGCTCCTCATCCTACACCCCAGCCGCCTCTGTTCACTCATTTCAAGCCACACCCTTACCTCTCCTCAGCTTCTTCACCCCACAGCCCAGATGCCTCTTCTTGTCCCTTCGACTCCACACAGTACCAGGCTTTTTCTTTTGGGCCACCCACCACCTCCCAAATCATGACACGGTGACTTACTAGTTATGAATGCTCAGCCTAGCTTAGCCTCGTTTCTGGCTAGCTCTTTTAACTTCAATTAACCTGTTTCTCTTTATCTACCTTTTCCCTCTGGGTTTTTTACCTTTTCTTTCTGTATAGCTTACTTTCCTGTTGTCTTTATGTCTGGTTGGCTGGCAGTTCCCTCATTCTCTCCTCTTTTCTTCTCTCTCTCCCTCCTATTTATTCTCTCTACCCGCCAGCCCCACCTATCCCTCTCCTGCCTAGCT